AGGGACACACAACAAGCTCAATGTGAAATACACGGGGACACACAACAAGGCTCAATGAGAAGTACATGGGGATACACAACAAGTTCAATGTGAAGTACACAGGGACACCACGAGCTCAATGTGAAGTACACGGGGACACACCACAAGCTCGACGTGAAGTAGACAGGGACACACAATAAGCTCAATGTGAAGTACATAGGGACACACGACAAGCTCAATGTGAAATACACGGGGACACACCACAAGCTCAATGTGAAGTACATAGGGACACACAACAAGCTCAATGTGAAATACACGGGGACACCACAAGCTCAATGTGAAGTACACGGGGACACACGACAAGCTCAATGTTAAGTACACGGGGACACACGACAAGCTCAATGTGAAGTACACAGGGACACACGACAAGCTCAATGTTAAGAACATAGGGACGAACAACAAGCTCAATGTTAAGTAAACAGGGACACACGATAAGCTCAATGTGAAGTGCACGGGGACACACAACAAGCTCAATGTGAAGTACATAGGGACACACAACAAGATCAATGTTAAGTACACAGGGACACGAGACAAGCTCAATGTGAAGTACACAGGGACACACGACAAGCTCAATGTGAAGTACACGGGGACACACGACAAGCTCAATGTGAAGTACACAGGGACACACGACAAGCTCAATGTTAAGTACATAGGGACACACAACAAGCTCAATGTTAAGTTAACAGGGACACACGACAAGCTCAATGTGAAGTGCACAGGGACACACGACAAGCTCAATGCGAAGTACACAGGGACACACGACAAGCTCAATGTGAAGTACACAGGGATACACAACAAGCTCAATGTTAAGTATATAGGGACACACGACAAGCTCAATGTTAAGTACACAGGGACACACGATAAGCTCAATGTGAAGTACATAGGGACACACGACAAGCTCAATGTTAAGTACACAGGGACACACGACAAGCTCATATGAAGTACATAGGGACACACCACAAGCTCAATGTGAAGTACAGAGGGACACACGACAAGCTCAATGTGAAGTACATAGGGACACACGACAAGCTCAATGTGAAGTACACAGGGACACACGATAAGCTCAATGTGATGTAAATAGGGACACATGACAAGTTCAATGTTAAGTACACGGGGACACACGGCAAGCTCAATGTTAAGTACACGGGGACACACGACAAGCTCAATGTGAAGTACACGGGGACACACCACAAGCTCAATGAGAAGTACATGGGATACACAACAAGTTCAATGTGAAGTACACAGGGACACACCACAAGCTCGACGTGAAGTAGACGGGGACACACAACAAGCTCAATGTAAAGTACGTGGGGACACACCACAAGCTCAATGTGAAGTACACGGGGACACACCACAAGCTCGACGTGAAGTAGACGGGGACACACAACAAGTTCAATGTGAAGTACGTTGGGACACACCACAAGCTCAATGTGAAGTACACGGGGATACACAACAAGCTCAATGTGAAGTACACGGGGACACCACAAGCTCAATGTGAAATACATGGGGACA